CCGTAACTTCTTCATACAAACTTCATTTTTGACGTTCTTTGTATCCCTGAAAAACTCTCGACGAGATCTACAACTTTCCTTTAGACCCCAAAAGCTAATTCTTAATTTATTTTTCGTCTATATTTTTATAAAATTAAATGATTTTGCTAAAATCATAATTCTCTCGTACAGACTCCATGTTTGACATTCTTTTTCTCAAAATTCCTATCTTAAAAAGTACTACGATTTTCCTTTTATGGCTTTAGTTAAAGGTCAACCATTTTCTTCGTAGCTTTTTATTTCACACATTCCTTGTACGCGACTGACTTTTATATCTTATAAAAATCATATCTAATTCATAAGGAGTCAGATGTCTACGAAATTTAGATTTACGAGATCGGAACAAAGTGTACTTTATATATATATATATATATATATATATATGTGTGTGTGTGTGTGTGTGTGTGTGTGTGTGCGTGTGTGTGTGTATGTTTTGGCACACTCATTTTTACGATTTACGGAAGATTTGATTTATTTTTCGTATTTTTCTTAATATGAAACTTATATTATATAGTATGTGGCGCGCATGACTATAAACTATCCTATTCAAGGATTTAAATTTTAATAATTATTACTTATTATGTGCCGCCCGAATCTACGGGTGTTACAACATACATGTATCGGCCTTCAACACAAAGTTGGTATGTCCCTCCCCTTGGCCTTCAGCACAAAGTTGTTCCACCCCTAGCCTTCAACATAAATTTGGTCTGCCCCGTGTATCTTGGCCTACATCACATAGTTGGACCTCCCTCAACTCATCATGGAATATGTCGACATATAAATATAACAAATAAATAAACAATCCAACACTACCGACAACTAACAAACTAATTTGCATGCCTAATAACATACATCAACACAATCATGTCCTAACATACTAAGGACTCATACATTACTCTACATGCTATTATTTGAAAACCCACCAAGTGAATGCATAAGTGTATGTACTCAGAGATAAGATAGACAGATGATCCGACCCTAAAGCCACAACCAAACAACGAACAAGCAGTAAGGTATAGATTAAGAGCTCTCAAGCTATCTTATTTGACTACATACAACCCCAAAGAAATTCACTCGGCGATCACCAATACTATCTACCCTCCAACTAACATATCAACATACACAATAATATACTAGTCTGCTCGCCCTAACAACATATCATCACCCCTTTACATCCTATCATACATGTATATATAGCGTAACACATAGTATAGTGAGGAGACTTACCTGAAGAAACAAACACAGAATAAAACCATTGAAGTGGCTAAAATGAACTCCTTTTCTAAACACCTACATTCCATACCAAAACTCTAGTTAAATCATTTCTAGATAATACGCATACTGAACTTTATTTATACTTTTACTTCAGAACCCTTCTTGTATTATCATGTTGTACACACACCTTTGGTTATATGATTATATAAGCGTTAACCCACACACTTTATACATCTTTTTATACATACATTAGGATATGAATGATTCAAAACATATTCTTAGGTTTACACACACCAAACACACTCACAACTGTAAACTGGGGCTTACTTCTTGTTTTAAACACTCACACCCAACCAAACTTTTAATACATGATGTGGGTGATGTTGTTTACATTAAGACTTAGCTAAAATCATATTTCATGAACCAAAAGCATTCACAAGGTGAGCTCTACCGTTTGTGAGTTTCGGGACAAAACTCAAATAAAAAGGAGTTGCTTCTTGGTATATGGCTAGATAATTACGTCAAAGAGTTTAAGCCTATTGATAAAGATTTTTGGCCAACATAAAAACCATAACGCATGTTTATAAGACACATTGTGTTCATGGATTTATCCCATAATATTATTTTTATCTACACTTTAGTCCTTATCCTTATCAACATTTTAGTCCTTATCATCTTTTTTAGTCCTTCTCAGCATGTTTATCCTTATCAGCTCCATTTCCAGCCCATTTTGCTCCTTTTTGCAAACCAATGATAATTTCCTAAAAAAATTGTGAATATGAACATTATAAGTACATTTTATCTTTAAACACATTAAAATACAGCTCAAGATAGTAATATAGCGTGTGAAATATGTGTATAATTTAAGCATTATCATCAGCTACTAACAAACAAGGAAACCACTTTTAAACACAAATATTCATTCATTGACAAGTTTATTCATATTACAAAAAAATGATACTAATTTTTGATGATTTCCATGTATTCTCCTTTGGTACTTAGCCAATTTGTATGATGTATTGTTGTTATGGAGTTTGGACTACTTTGAAAGTAGATGAGTCATAAGGGGAATTTTATGAATAATGGTTTCAATTCGAACATGCAACAACTGATGTTCTTCCAACATGCTATCAAAGATCTATCAGGGACATGACTGAAAAAAGTGAAAAGGGAAGTAGATGAATCTTAGATGGAATAAAAAACTAGGCTCAAATGATTTAAAGTACCCGATGAAGAGGAACTACTTGAAATCAAAATAGGAGAATGGGGTTGTAAGGTAGTTTTTTACCTACTACACCGTTTGTGGTTACTCTTGTAGCTTTCAAAATATGTACCATAGTTTTGTGAGTTGATCTATAAAAAAAAAACTCCATGTGTAATTTTAGGTAAATTTGTCATCTCATCAAGGTTATATATACACACACAATCTATTGCATGGGAAGTGGCGAGTCTATTAAACAAACAACATGAATAGTATAAATGGTTCACGTTGAACATTAATAGTTGCATGGGAAAAAACACCTCCATAAATAACACATGCAAATATCGGTATCTATTAGTGAGAGAATACCCTAAAAAAACTCATGAATCATTATCATTGAGATGTAATACGCGAACAGTTCGTGAGGTTGATTTTTCACTTTATAATAGGTGTCAACTGAGCATGGTCGTACTACTTGATAATGGCTTCATCAAATTATCTATCAATCTTCTGAATGAGGGGATGTTCATATGAAATGATCAATCCAAATGTGTCACCATGGTTTCGAAGCTCCATTATTTAGCTCATGGACTCCCTCAAACCCAGGTAGAATCTTTTTCAAATTTTCTAATTTCAAGGTATGTAACAAATATCTTTATATGAAGTGAAGTGTAACGGAGTCTTATTTATGTTGTATTGTTATAGGACTAGAAGAAACACTATAAATATTTTAGATGAATAGATGAGGAATTAACTGTCTAAAACTACAAATATTTGCTTCTTAAAACTCACAACAAGATGAAAGATGCACAATCGGAGCCGAAGAAAATGCAATTGGAGTTAAATAAGAAGAAAAAAAATGATATATAAAGATTGATGAATTAAAATTTGGAACCAAAGGAACTTAAAGAAATACAGTTGGAGTTGAAAAGTTAGAACAACAACATTATTTTCAGTTATGAAAAACATAATATGCAAATGTTATATTACTTAGGGTTGTTTTTAGCAATGCCAATAGTTGTTTTCACAGTGTACATTGTAATATTTGTTTAGTTTACGAAAATACCTCTCATGGATTTGTCATAAATTGATTGTTGAAAAGTTTATAATCTTCATAGATAATGCTAGAAAACAAATAGATACTTTGCAAACCTAATAAATATTTTATAATAAACTAGACAACAAACTGATACATTACAATGGTTACCGCAACCTAGAAGAGAACAAACTGTTAAATATTAAACACTGTAAAAACATTGAATTTTTCTGCTCATGTTTTTTGAGTGTTTATTTGATGTCATCTTAAAAGGCAAATGCATATCTTAAAAGGCAAATGCATGGTTTTTAAATATCTTCTATAAACGATATATGAGACTTTTGTACGGGCTAACTCACACAATATCTATAAGTACATTAACCCTTATAAACGGCTTGTTTTTCTTCTCATGCATCAACAATGATTTGTAACTAGTTGTTCACTAAAATAACAATGAATTGTCCACAATATATGGTCTTTTTAAGCTACTTGGTTGTCTTATCTACAAATACCTTAATACAATACAAATCAAGTTAGGTTATTAGTTATCAGTACAAAACCGAAGATTCAGTACAAAACCGAAGATTATTTATCAACTTACTTGGTTATAATCAATCATATATGCTCAATCAACATCTACGTGTGCATTATCTTCATTGCCTTCATTAAAAGACGTTGTTTATGGAAGTTTCAATAATATATTTTGTGTTGTTGTGGTTTTTTCTCTCGTCCTGTCTACTATATTTACTATATGATTTTAATATCCCGAACTATTAGCGAGATCTTTTGCAATCTTTCTAGGTAACCAATTAGATTAAAAATGGTATCATGAAGAATAAATGTTCACGAAAGAATAACGAGGTTTAACTTGGTAAGCATGTATTTGTTAGTTAGCGAATATGTTTTCGTGGGATAATAATTGTTCTTGGAGAAGTGAAATTTTGGAGGTTACCTAGAAATATGAGAAGTATGATCCGAGCCGATATAGTCATTTTAAAATATCAAATTTACCCTTTCCCTAATCAATTCAAATTGAATAAAATATTCTAGAAATGTCTAGGATGACTTAACTAATACAACTTATGTTTTCTCAAGTGTTAATTTGCTTATATAGTGTCAAAACATAGTTTCAAAATGTTTGAATTAACTTGCTCAAAACAAAAACGCAATAACCTTATATCTTATTCTTTAAAAGGTTTATTTGCGCAATCCAAACACTTAAAGGTATGTATTAACAATACCAAACCGTAATAAACTAATAAATGAAAATGAAAGTATTTAGTCAAAACAACTTATCAACGATATTATACCACAATAGACATAAATTATTTTGTGCACTCTAAACACTCAAATTACCTTATTACCATTACCAAACCACAATAAGTTCATAAAACAAAATCCCAAACACCCCCAACTAGTAATTTCCTATTTTTCTAACAAAGAGCAAATGCACAACATAATAGAAACACATAATTACTTGGTAAAAAGGAGTAAAAACAAGATTAATTCTTCATCTATAGCAATTACATTATATCTGTAAAATTATATGGAATGGGGTTGACAATGTACAAAACTTGCATTGAAACAATAATGTCCAACTGCATCTAAAAACTAAAAGGATTTATAGATTTTATGAACTATAATCCCTCGACTCACCTTCATTAAACTACATTACAGTAACAACTTTCCACATTTATAAGAAAGTTGAAAAAGGTCATTTTAGACAAATTCGATGTTAGAACTTATTTTTTTTTTTTTTTTTCTGTTCTTGAATATACGAAGTTTATTCTATGTTCTTCTTAATAGCTCACAATCACATCCTCCCCCACAGCAACGTTAAGATCAGGGAGGACAATTTTGTCTTTTTGCTCTTCAAAATGGTTGTTTGGTTGTTGGATTCCACCACATCTGAATGCATTAAGTCTCTCCCCTTGTATATCAAGCTGAAGTAACAAAAGTACACACTTATATATATATATATATATATATATATATGAGTATTACTTTTTGACTTAATGCATAAAGAACAAGATAAAAGAAAAGTAAATTTTCCTATTAAGTCCTAAAAATGAAAAATAAATATATAGACGGTATATACTTAATAATAACAAAATACTAAAAGAAAAGAACTAAAATTGAGGGCACTTTCGGAAAAAACAAAAAGTTTGAGGATCAATCTGTAAAAAAACCCAAAATATAAGGTCTTTTATGCAGAATCTTTCTCATGTTGTTTACCTTCATCTTCTTCAAGTTTTGGTTCTCTTTTCTCTGTTTTTCACAGTTAGCATGTAGAGTTGCTAATTTCTAAAAAAATAAAATAATAACCAAAATTAGCATATATAAAAGTATCTTTGAATATTAAAAATGATGTTTTTTTTTTCTAAAAGGAATGTACCATTTTCAAATGATTTTGTTCTTCCATTAACAACACCTCCTCCTCTTTTAATGCAGCCAAAGACTAAATAAAATTAATGGAATTATATTACATTAATAAAATCATTAATTAAACTTAAAGACATTACTTAATAATGAAGCATGCTCACCTTCTTCTTTCTTGGCCTCTTGGTTGGGGTGGTTTCGCCACGTGGCATCACCTGCAAAAAAACCAACATTAACAAACTTAAACCGACAATAATTAAGGTTTTATTTATTCAAATTTGAAATTTATAGAAAACCCATGTGACGAAAATTCCATTTACACACAAAAAAAAAAAAGTGAACCTAAATTTTAATAAATTTATGCGGATTAGATCTTTGTTAAAGCACTAAAGGTAACAAGTATTTAACGTCTTTGCACAAAGACTATTGCTTTTACGTATTTTTTTAAGCTTAAAAAAATACCATTTTCTATTGCTATTTTATATCACATGCAAACTCATGTTTAATTTAATTTAAATTCACCTAAAATCTCAAGATTCCTAGTAAACAACTAAATAAACAACAGTATTTAATTTTACTGCGTTTCTGACTTCTATTTTTAGCAACATTAAAAAATTGCCCACCTGGGATTCAGATAATTAACATTTGTGACAATTGACAAATATATCCTTCTGTCAACCAAAAAAAAAGAACTTTTTTAGTTATATAAATATAATTAAATTTAAAACTAGGAGTACTTAAGTGTAATAGATGGGCCCAACCCTAATAAAGAAAAAAGGGCTAAATGTTACCTAGATGTCTAACTAAGAGAATAACAAAAAGATCCATTGTAAATATATATATATATATATATAATTATATGGAGTAAAACATTGTATAAATTATAATAGAGTAATTACACTTTTGACTTTGTCAAACAAGACTTTCTTGAGTTTTGAGAAAGATTTAAAATAATAATTTCATGCTAAATTTCTTAAAATTTTCGTATGAAGATAAAGAGTTAAAAAAATGTCACAAAAGTGGCATGACTAAAAGGACAATCAGATACACACACCCAATACAGAGAACACGCCACCGATAAAAAACTGGTATATCCTTCTTTTATGTGAAATGACTAAAATACCCCTAACCACACACTACATTTGCAAATATATTTTGAGTGGCATCGCCTTTCTTGCCAAAGGTAGATGGATATGATTTCGACAGATTATGTGTGTGAGTCATCACTCATCAGTTCATTAACCTGATGAAATGACGTAAATACCCTTTTGAGAGGAAGGGGATTTTTCATGACTTTTAAGAAGGTGGGGCCGGCGATAAGAGGAAGAGGAGAAACGGTGACGGGAAAACATAGAAATTAGAAAGTCCGTCAATCTTCTGACTCCATGCGTTGATAATCATTAATCATCTCTGTTTATTCTTCGAAGAAGATAATCAAAATCATGTAATAGAAATCAAACAATATGTTGTAATTGTGTAAACTAAATTACTTAAGTTACGAATGAATCGGAGGTGCAATCGGTCAACGGAAGTCCGGCGAGATCTAGGTCGGAAAACTATGCATGGGAGGAGGGTAGAATGGTCAGAAATGAAACTGAAAAAACCGTAAAGCAAGGGGTCATTCGTCATCATCTCTGACAAATCATGAACGCGTGATTGTAATTTTGTGAGTTTCTGAGGGGTGTTATGGTCAAAATGACTAACAGCATCGAAAAACACAAGAAGCAAATGAGGACACACCATCTACAACTAAACAATCAGCTCACTGACAAATAAATTATACGACCACCACAACAAGGGACAAACGGCGACGTGTCTATGGATATCAGACTATCAGTTTCAGTTTCGTTGCGTTTACGAACCTTAGATCTCGAGATATCAGAGCGGTTGTGATTTGGTTGTGTGGAGGAGTCAACAGCATCGACAATTGGAACACCACCGCCACCGCCACCGCCGCTCCAGGATAACGGAGTGCTAGGGCTTGCCCTCGGCGCTTCCGATTTGTTAGGCGCTGGAAGTAGTACTACCGGTTGCGACCTGGACCGGCGCTGGTGAATGGTCCAACTTTGTGGTGGCGATGGTCTTCGACGCTTTGACGGCTGCAACGACGGTGGTGGCTTCGCTACACGGAGTCTAACGAGGACTTCCGCCACTAAGTCGCTGTCCTCCATAGCCGCTGCCACCCAGTCATCTTCAGCCATGTTGATTTACAGTGAGAGTGGTGGAGATGGTGGTGGCAGAGAGAGAGAGAGAGAGAGAGAGAGAGAGAGAGAGAGATTAATGGGGGAAATAGGGAAAAGGAAAAAGCTTGTTTACAATGGCGTAATGGGTGAAGGTGTAGGAAGGAAAGGATTGGAGTTGGGTGGGACCCACACTCAGTTAGAACCCACTCCCTTCTTCTTCTTATTATTATTTTTTTAGTACTTTTTTCATCAAGTAATTTACCCTTTTTCGCCTGAGTGTTTTATGCCCATAGGGAAAGGTAAGGGAGTAAGTTGTCATTTTCTATATTAGGTCTGCCTATTTTTATGTTTCTTTTTTTATTCCATAAACAAATAAACAATTCACTTTCCAAATAGTAAACTTCCACTTGAATATTCATATGTATATCTAATAAACTTGTACTTAAATATATAAAAACTTTTTACTAAGCATTTAAGTGTATTAAAATTGTAAAATGTATGTATTGTGTTTGAATATTTCTTTTGAGTTGGTTTTGAATTAAGCTAATCTTCGTGTACGTACTATATAAACAGGGTGGATGGGAAGGTAAAATGATAGGCAGCTAAAATTGTTTCCAAAAAATACATCCGAAAAATAAAAAGAAAACAAAACAAAATAGGAAAAGTCAAAATGTTTGCTCGTCGAGTAAGATCTTTTGCATATTAAAGGTAAGTTAAAGCTAATCCTCTTGTATATAACTCTATGTACTATAAAAATGTAATATGTGGGAAGGTAAGATAATAGACAGCTGAAATTGTTTTCAGAAAATACATCAGACAAATAAAAAGAAAACAAAACAAAATAGGAAAATGCAAAAATGTTTGCTCATGGAATAAGATCTTTTGCATATTATGTAACATCTCCCTCTCACACGTATCATAATATTGCCTGATTTGGGCTCCCAGCACGAAAACTTTCCAGGGGTCACACATCCCTGAATTTCTTTCGCTCGGGCACGCTTAACTGCAGAGTTCTTATGGGATATGTTGTCTTCACGGCTATAAAACGTGTTGTCATAGGGAAGGTATATACACCCTTTATAAGGAAATGATTCATTCTCCTTCCCAGTCATGTGGGATTGGGATCAGGTGCAACCCACCTTCACCCCTCCCCCTCCCCTCCATTATAGGGGTTGATGTCCCTGTCAAACACATCGACCCGTTCCCTGGCTCTAATACCATTTGTAATATCCCTCTCTGGCACGTATCGTAATATTGTCCACTTTGGGCCCCCAACATGTGACATCCTCTAATTTTCAGAAGCAATTAAAACTTTTCTTTACACTTTAAAAATCATTTATTTATATTTGCTGAAAATCCCAATACAAAAGATCGTTCTGATTACAAATGTTTGTTTCCAAAATGTTAAAATCCTAAGGATGTCATAATCAATACATATACATCAGTTATAGCGTAAAGACCTGATGGTCCTGAATACTATTGCAGGTTGTCTCTTAATCACTCAACATTGTAATAATGTTCCAATAGCTTAAGTCTTAATGTCTGTGATGCATATAAACTGAGTGAGTCAGGTTGGGGAAATCTGGTGAGATACATATGGATTTCTATCCCACAATGTTGATATGATAATATTCCTTAATTATCAGACCTATAAAACCAACCGTTACCATACAATATCAATATAGGCTTACATTCCTGCATATCCATTCCTACCAATCCTCACAGTTCCTAGTCCACAATTATCAGGGAGAAATTATCTCTCCTGATAAACCGTTAAAAGGTTTGACTACATAGCTAGGGGCTTCCTTGGCAAATGTAAGTCATATGGCATACGAGCCATCAGAGTATTTGATGAATATGGTATCCTATTTCATCTATGTTTGTGAGTAATGAGCTCACACTAGCAACGTAATTCACAAGACTATCTAGAATGATCAAGTGTTGTTACCTACTCTGAGAGGTGACCAGACATACTATTACAGTTGTCTGATCTGGACCCGTCATTTCTGGTCATCCAAGGTGAATACTATAGTGTACTCTCTTACGGATCTACCATAAATCAACACCTGAAAGTGCCATAGAACATAACTTTACTCTTATTTCCTAGCCTACGTACATTCTCCTAATGAGACTACCCAATATCAAACTTAATTGAACTAGGTATCTGTAACGCCTGCAGATTCGGGCTACTTAATTTAGAGACAATAAGCGTCCAAAATGACTTTTTGATAAAAGATTATTTAAAATAAATAATCTTAACTACGTTATAGTATATGTCACAAGGGTTTCGTACATATAAATAACCCTGAAATCCGAGTTATAACGAAGAAGTTATGACTCGTCGAAGCTTTTGGCAAAACCGACACAACGCCGCGTAACGTAAAAAGTGAATTTTTGATAATTACTTTTTAGCCTTAGTAATCTAAAATAAGGTCATAGTATTCGTTAAACCGAGAGCGTGCATAAAGAGAACGTCCAAATCTGACTTCATAAGATGAAGTTATGATTTTTTAAAGTTTCAACGTAGCAGTATACAACTCAGAAATCGAATTTTAGATCGGTCAATTTTTAGCCAAAATGATATAAATGAGAATTGAAGATCTCATTAATAGGAGTTAACCGATAAAAAGACAGTCGAAAACGGAGTCCGTATGTAGAAGTTATGAATTTTACACGGTCGTTAACAGTGTAATCTTTTCATATTGTTAAATTTAAAATTGGTCAAGAATTAGCCAATGGGGTCAAAAGGAAAGTTGTAGATCTTGTCAATACCTACGCGTGGATATAAAATAACGTCAAAAACGGAGCTCGTATGCAAAAGTTATGAATTTTTTAAGATTAGTTGTTTTACCTTCGTCTTGCGCCACGTGTCAGCACCAGGCTTCGCCTTGGTGCCTACGCAAAGCTCACGGCGTGAGAGCCAAGTCTCACGACGTGAGAGGCCCCAGATAGCCTATAAATAAAGGCACAGATCATCTATTTTCTTCACACCTTCACCATTCTTTCTCTCTCAACACTCAGAAACTATCCTTCCCATTCCCTAGTACTTCCTAAGTGCTAGAGGCGAGTCCTGGAGTACCAGAAGGCTCCGAGAAGAAGAGATTTCGGCTCAGAAGTTATGCCCCTGCAGAGATCGGCTCCTATCCAAACCTTCTAGTAAGTGAGTTATGTTTACCCTACTTTAAGTATAGCTTATGTTTAAGTTTAATATTGTTATTATGAACTTATAAACAATATATATTATAAAATATAATATGCAAAGTGTTATTATAATATCTTTTAACTACTCGTGGTACGGGGAATCTGGTTTGAAGGGCCGCATAGGGTTGTTGGATTTCAGAAGTGCTTAAATGTCAAAATGGTCATTCCCTCTGGTGTTTCATGTCTGGCCCATGTCTGTACATAGTAGTTGAAAAGTATTGTTTAACATTTATACAACAATATCGCTCGTAGACCTTGAGTTAATTAGTCGCAACAAATATTAGAATAAAACTTAGCAATAATAATGCTAGGTTTCGTCGAAGGAAAAGACGATTATTAGAAGCGAAGTGTTGTCTAAATTTCGAGTCATCACTTTAACAAATGAGTGCATAGTTACTTTCATCTTACACATAGATATGAAGTATTTAATATAAATTACGTGTTATGTGCGCATATTATCTATGTTCCTGATATCTATGCTAGATGAACGATTTATACATGTTTACGTGATTTAAATTCTATACATATTTTTATACTTATAAATATATATTAGGTAGCGACGGGTGATGAGAGATAGGTGATGATAGAAAGGTGATGATAATTAGGTGATGATAGATAGGTGATGATAAATATGTGATATGATATGAGAGGAGATACCATAACCTTGACCGGCGATGTGGCGATGTAGTCATCTACCAACCAAAGTATAGATGGCGACCACAGACTATTATAGACAGTCATGTGGTGTCACACCCCCAAACCAGAACGGCGGAAACGTCTAGGGGTGGATCACTTCATGTACAGTATTATAAAAAATGAATAATAGTGATCAAATCCATACAACCATTGCATTGATAATTGCAAAGTTTACATCATACAAAAACATTGTTTACTTGTTGTTAAATACATATGTTCAAAAGTAAATAACGTGACGCGGCGACGCCCCATCCTCAAAACCCTTTTGGTTACCTGTTTACTGATTTCCTAAGAATACAAGTGGTTTTGAAAAAGTGTCAACAATTAAGTTGGTGTGTAACACCCAGTTTTGAAAGTATTCGGTCTTTTATGGGTCTCGGGTCCTATTCAGAAGGTTTTAGGCTTGGGGGTGTGGCTAGGAGCGTAGGGCTTCCCGCCACCTTTTTGTGGATATAAAGTGCGTCGGAAACGGACTTAGAGTGAAGAAGTAATAGCACTTTGAAGTTATTGGCATTATTGGTCCCTAATGGAGAAAGATGGCAAGTAAGTATGTAGCACCTGGTTCCTGGTATGTATTTTATTTAAGAAATTTCGCATTTTTGGCCTGGGACTCGGCGAGTTGAAGGCCCAACTCGCCGAGTAGAAGCGGGATGAGACGCGGGATTTAAGTGATGGACTCGTCGAGTCGGGTCCCGGACTCGACGAGTAGGCTCTGACTGGACAAAACCCTAGTCTGAGGGTTTGCACCCTATTTAAACAACCTTATATAGCCTCCATCGCCCCTTTATGCTCCCAGAAACCCTCCAT